AAATTTAGATCATACATCAATAGGGGAGCTAGTGACTATTCGTAACAATTTTTTGGAAAAAATGGTTATATTCATGAATACATTTATTATTCCTTGATTATAGTTACTGTTTTGTATAGTATAATTATCCCTTCATAATATTTTCAAAACGAACGTTCGGCAGTTTTGTTGATTTTAACACAAAAAAATGTTTTAGCAAAACTATTTATCTTTTAGAATTTGCTCCAGACTTGAGGCATATTGTAACAGACCTGGGGCAAATATTAACAATAATAAAGACCGTATTTGAATAACATTTGGTGTTTACTAATAGTTGATATGACACTGAATGAGAGGTCTAGAGAAAAACAAAGATAAAATTATTTAACCAACCAGCATGAAAGTCAATATTCATCAGAATTTCAGTTACTACAAACAAATGATATATTGCTTCCTCTCATACATTTAACGTGTGCCTACATATTGCAAATTAAGCATTGCATCCGCTCTTCTTCATCAGATTTGTTTTTTTCATTCATAATCTGCAACTAAGTTCAAAATTCTCTTCTTCACCCATTTTATCTCATCTATCTCTTTATATTTTCCTTCTGTTCTCGTTTCTTGCTATGCATCTCTTGATATTTTTTCCCAATTCTTCTGTTTCGGATGTGTCGGTTAAGAAGGCAAATTCCATTTTGCGTCGGTTTCTGTTACACCGCTTCCGAGATGAAGCTTTACGGAAAGGTCTAATCCTTGAGAGTTAAAAATCGATTTTTATATTTTGAGAGGAGGGGGGGGGAACTAAATCGAAAAAAGTAATTTGCATGTTAACATTTAAACAAGAAAGTCTAACTACATGAAAAAGAATCTCCCGGCAAGTTGTACGTAACATGTAATAAATTGCCCCATCGTATGGTTTCGGACATTTTTGTTGATTTAAACCTTAGCTCACTTAATGATCAGCATTTTGAATTAAAATGGCTGAGGTGTTTTAAGGTATTGGAAGCAAATTTCTGTTGCAAAGATACGCAATAAAATACCGTATTGCTTCAAATATAAGATGTCGTCACATATAAAACAATTTTACCTTCTAAAGACTGAAGGGGTTTGCATATAAGATGTGCTCACATTTATGAGTCTGATATGCTAAAGAAAGCTACAGGAAAAAGCATTAAATAATCTAAAATCGCATTATTTAAAATGAAATTTAGTTAATATATTTCCCGTTAATTTACAAATTATGAAACGGTCCTAAATTATCTTATTTTTTAATGCTAAGCTGTCCATTTAAAATCAATATTATTTCGGAACGGCATCTCTGAGAGCAGACGCAGTCGGTATCCTTCAAACTCTCCTCGAAACCCAGAGGCTAGACTTTGAAGCTTTATCCAGAGCGTTTCTCTGATTCTCAGTGTCTGACGGCCACTAATTTTTTTCCTACCTCCTTACTGGGTAGCGATCTTATCCTTAGCGATTAATATTCTCCAGTTTCTTCGTAAATGGCCTTCACCACGTTCATCCTAAAGTTCCAGTATTTTAGGATCGGTTTGTAGTTACTCTTATTCTGCTTTAGGGCGTCGAATTGCCTGGTTAAATCGTCTAAACCAACAATCACTTGATCCACTTGCTCTTGGATTTCAGCCGCTGTGACTGGATGGCGGTCTCTGTGGATTGTTCGCTGGGCTGCCTCGAATTTCACGGCGTACACTAAAGTGCCTTTTAGATCATTGACATTCATCATTCGCAGGGCTTTCTATATCTCAATATCCCGAAAAACCATCGATGAGGTATTGAAGGGACCGAATATCTCTTGTTTCTGTTGGTATGTCCGAAAAGACGGGATAAAAGAGTCTTTCAATATCCGCGACGAGCTACTGGAGTGTTTCAGTGGGCATTTTTTGACGAGATTTCAGGTGAAGCCTGAATCTCGTCATTTCTCGCCAAAGCGTGACTCCAAGCTTCTGGTTTTCGGATTAGCCTCTGGTTTTCGGGCAGAGTTTGAAGGATATCCACTGCGTCTGCTCTCAGAGAAAAAACAAGATGACAGTCCTTAGTTTCGAATACCCATTCATTTGCATTTGCCGCTGCAGAGAATTGAGTCTTGCATACTTGAGAGCATGTCTTATCATCATATGTGGATAGCTGTAGAGAAGGTTGAGAAGGTATAGGTAAAACGTAGGTATTTGTAAATAGCTATTTTCAGGTGATAAAATCGACATCGACGGAGAGTTAAACGTTAAAAAAAAATCACGTTTGGGAGTGCCACCTACCATCACACGGCACATGTGGAAAATGTTATAAAAATCCCTGCGTACTCAGATTAGACTTTCTAAGAAAATACAATTTTGCCTTAGCCTTTAAAAAATAACGAACTGCATTCTGCCTCGGAGAACGTAGCTATCAGTCATCGAAAAGGATCATCACACGAAAACGCGGAAGCCTTGTCTAAAAGACTGCCCAGAAAGCTGCCGATATTGTTGCAGGGTCGAAGCGAAATACGAGCGTCTTAATCCGGCGCACGACAAGCTACAACTCCAACATCGGTTGATCGAGACCCATGGAGTAACGAAGAAATCAGGAAAGATCAGTTGGAAGACTTTGGCATTAAACCCATAATTAACTTAATGGAGTCTTCAAACTGGAAACCTACCTAGCAGCACATTTTCATCTACAGTCCTATGACAAAACAATATTAGGCTCTCTGGGACTCACTCCATATTCAAAACGGCGTCTTCTTCAGAAGTTCGAATCAGTTGATGGGAAGGCACTCCAATAGCAGCTAATACTTCCAAGATCCCGGACGTCCTTAAAGAATAACATAGAAAATCAACAGGAGACCACTTCGAAATAATGAAGACTTTGCCATAGAGTTCAAGGGCGCTTATACTGGAGTAGTGCAAGGGATGACCTACAAAAGTGGTGCTAACTTTTAGATGCTAATGGGACTCAGAAAGGATCGAAACACGCAGCCTAGTGAAACTGCAACTTTACAGGAGAGTCTTTTGATCGTATCACTTTGATATCCTGGTACCTCTGCCAACAAACTGCTAATGGCTAACAATACATACTCGTTGTCATTGATTAATTTATAAAGCGTATCCTATCTGTGATAAGAGGTTGTTTCGGTAGCAGAGCTAAGATACAGCATTCGATTTCCAGGTCTTGGAAAGTCAAGTCAATTTCCAATAAATTCCAGGTCCTCTTCAGTGACTTTCCTATTAAGGAAAGAATTTTTAATTTAATTAATTAATTGAACCGTACGTAATAAGCCGGGGACCAAAATTACCTCTAGTCATACTGGCCTAACGCAGTGCTGTTCACTAGGCTACCGGTTATTCGCCATCCTAGATATTCTCGATCGTGACCTTCTTCTGTATTGTAATATGTTATTTGGTCGCCCTCTGGATGTACCTTCAGCGCTTGGGGAGTTCATTCAAAATCTCCTGGCGCGGTTTGAAGTGCTGCACAGTTTTGCACGACAGCGAGTCAACTTGGCTTCGGAAAAGATTCAGACCTGATCCTACACGAGAGCTGCAGGACATCGATTCAGGTAAAGTGACAAGGTGTGGTTATGGAATACGATTCGACAGAAAGGACTCTCTCTTAAACTATTGTCAACCCGGGACAGTCCTTACATAGTCTTAAACAGGCCGATCGTCGTAGTTTGGATTCGCAAGTCATCAAATTTTAACCTAAAGTTGTTCATTACGATAGGTTAGTCCCTTACTTATGCATAGTACCATAGTCCCCATAGTGTATATAATAGCATACTAAAGCCATGGTCCTATGTATACATAATTTTAAAATTCCTGTATTTATTTATTGATCTAGTAATTGATTTGCTGGCAGTTAATTATTGAAATTATTATTTTAACACTGCATTAATTTTCCTGAGTTATGTCGTCCTATCTAGGGATTGTTCTTGGAATTAGTCCTTGGAAAGGGGCAATGTTACGAATTTTGTATACATGTAAATAATTTTAGTGAAATTATGGGTGAAATTGTATACCTCTGGTATAATGTAACATGAAATTGCCTCAAAAATGTGATACGATACGATACGTTTACTACGATAAATCAGAAGGCTTGCCACTGAAAGAAAAGGTAATAGCTTATCAATATATAACTGATTCCACATTAAAAATCTAAATTTATGCAAGAGCTGCTCCTAAAGTTTTGGCTGTAGATTCATGCAGAATGCCTAGAAATTTTTCAAACTACAAACATTTTAATGCCATTCAGAACAGCGTATTTAAGTGAAAAATCTCTCTCGATGTATATTGCAACAAAACCAAACTATAGGAACAAATTAAATGCAGAATGTGAAAAGGAATGCAGATAACATCAATAAAGCCGGACTTGGATAGTTTCTGTAAACAATGCAAGCATACCGCTGTCACTAAATATAATGCTATGGTAGGTGACACCGGGAGCACGAGTTAAAGCTATTAATGAGTAAGCAACATTAATTTTATGCTAAAATTTGTTTTACAGACAAAATGCAGTATTTTTCTTAAATCGACGTGATATACAGTACCTAGAACATATTGATCCAATTTAAATATTATTTTAAGATACATTTTTCTAACAGTGTGATGAGTTTTCCCTGAAAAACTAGTTCTAAGGCTTCCGTGAGTCGACAAAATTTGAAGACTACTGCCGAACACAAGTAACTACTGTACTAACAGCTGAAGTTAAAACTAGATGTTCGTATTGCAGTCATTGGAGCCTGTAAACATAATACTACCTTTAATATTACATTACACTATAATAATTGCGAACTAGGTGTTAGAGCGTTAAAAGGAACACTGTAAAATGAATATACAAGAAATAATTTTATCTTTTTATTTTCTTTATTTTATCCTTCTATATCTTTATTTGACTTGATAATCCTTTTTTTTTTTTTTTTTAAATTTTTTATTTTGTCTGACACATGGGTGATACGAGATTGAAATTAGCATGCCAGCTGTTCAATTTCTCATGAACAAAGCTGTTTGATTTCTCACGCATGAGGTAGAAAGGGCTTGAGATACAATACAAATACAGGAAAAAATAAAAATGAGCTTTTAAAAGGGTCGATCTTTCTGCAGCAATTACATCCGAAGATATCAAGACGTTTCACCATGAAGTGCTTCGTGATAGCTACTCTGCTCTTTGTTTTTCTGGTAAGATAAGTATTTTTAGTATAGTTGGTTGAAAATTTAATATCAGGTGAATGGGATTCATCGTTGAGAATTTTTGACGAGATAAAAAGAAGCTAATACACGTAAAAAGTACTTTTTCAATGAATGTTTCTTTAATGAACGTAAAATAAATACTCCAACTTTAAAATTAAGCAAGATTAAACTATTGATTGAGGTAGTAATTGAGAAAAGCTGCATACATTTTGAAGGAATACAGCTACAAAAATATTCTACACTATTTTGTTGGAAATACAGAATGTGTTCACACAATTTTATAATGATTTTGCAAAGATTTATACATAAACAAAACCTTTGAATTTTATTTTCTAATATGTTCACTCTAATAGCCCTTTTGTTGAAATATCATATTACATCTTGATTTCCAAGATGAAAGCACCAAGTTTGATTTTATTCCACTCCCCCTTCACAATCTTCCAGCGTCTAGATCCATCGGGGGACTTGAGTGGAATGTATTTAAGGGTAATAGCTTTAATTATGGTTTCATTACTCATTTTTTCATAAAATAGAGCGGTAGATTTAGAGGTAGGGCTTGGATCCTTATCCTGATGTAACTTAACACAATGAAGATTGTTAGGATGAAGAGATGGAATTTCTTCTTTAAAAATAATATCTAGTTAATAGTAAATAGTTTAAAACATATTTATGACAGTAATCCGAATTAATTTTGATACTTTTTTCGACTTTCCTGATTTTAAGTTTTTCGTTCTAAGGGAATTCAGTAATAACCACAAAATCTTTAGAAAAACTTTCCTTGTTTTCTTTGAACCAACATATTAAGTCTTTTTCGGTAGTAAATCGATCTTTTTCTCTTGCAATCAGATAAGTATAACCAAGCCTCATCAATTGTAACTATATAGTTCCATTTCTCACCTGCCAAATAATTTTCATACAGCAATTTGCACACAGTCTTACGCTGAGAAGCATGTTTCGGCGTTAAGCGATGAACATCATGTTTTTTTATTTTATTACTGCACGTACATTTGTTGGGTATGCATTTTTTGCCCTTTTCCGCAGTCAGATAGCAACTTTGAGGCTTCTTTCCTTTCATATTAATTTTTTACTTATTTTACGTGTAGAAATACCCAAACCATGATTTTCAAATCTTTTTTAATAATTAAATAAGAGTATTTCTATTCGGACAGCCAAATTGATTTATTGTTTATTTTTCAGCGACATTTTAAAGAAAAGAACTCTTTTAATGCTGCAGACGATAACTAAACTTTATTCCAATTGGGTGTCTGTCACGTTTGTATTTTAAAATTAATATTTAAATTTATGGAGAAAACAAAATCGTTACATATATGTGTAAACAGCCTCTGTGTATCCTTTTAGTAGACGGGGAAGGGGGATCGTAGACTGAAAACTTTAGATATCACCTAAAGGAAAAATTTATCACTAAAATTTCAAAAAGTTAAAATATATAAAAAGATCTTAAACGTAGAGAAAATGATTGTAAATATTTCCATTCCCTTCTTAAACAAAAATAATGTCTACTATTTCTAACTATCTTCAACGTCATCTATATCTTGAATGTTTAAACCTGAAACTTAACTCGAAAACGAATTCAGTTTTATAAGCATCGGGATTTTTATGTACACTGCTAAAAGGGACAGTTCTATATCTCCCGTTCTACTGGGCCGATTGACAAAATTAAAATTGCGTTCTTCATGTCTCGAAAGCGTGACTTAGGATATATATTAGATTTATATATAGCACTATTCTAACATAGGTATTTTGACACAAAATCGGACTTTTTCTGAAATAACATACCACTGTTTTTACATATTTCGATTCTACAACTCAAATTACGCCTAAATATGAAATTTTGTAAAATTTGGAGCGAAATTTACGGAGAAATTCACAAATTTATGTTGGCCCATTTTTTTTCAGTTTGCGCCAAGAATAGTTCATTTGGCGAACTTCTTAATATATGGCAACCTAGTTTCCTTTCCCGTAAGAGGGAAAAAAAAGTCACCATCGTTCCTTTTTTCCAAATAATATTCTTTATATTATATTTTTAATTATAACTTATTATTTTAAGTATTTTTTTCTTTTTCGAATTTCATTTTAATTGCTTAAGTTGCATGTTTTTTTTTTTTTTTTTTTTTTTTTTTTTTCGAATAAATGTTTTAAAAATTTCTATTTACCTATTCCTATTGGAACTGAGTAAATAAGGGTGCAGCGTTTATTTTTTTTTCAGATAGTTTTCTTTATATATATTTTTTGTCATGGTTATTATTTTAGATAATTTTTTAATACTTTATTTTAATTGTTTTTTTGTGTTGCATTGTCTCTTCAGATAATTGTTTTAAAATTTTCTATTTATTCCTTCGAACTGAGCATTTTAAATATATTTATTAATATAAATTTTCCAGAATTTGATTTTATTTATTTGAATTGCGTTTCTTTCGGAAGAATACTTGTGTAACCGAGACTACGATGCGTTTGAAAACTGCATATATTAAAAGAGAAAGTACAGTAAAGCACAGTTAACACGCCTTTCAATTGTTCCGTTCAGAAGAGATATATAAATAAGAGAGATGTATAACCGACATTTTAACTTAGGATGACTTGCATACACTGATTTTAAACAGTTTTATCATTGTGCCCATTGCTTTACACAATTTTATCCTACATTTGGTTCTTAAAATGTTATTCATATTTCAGTCAAATATTTTATTTTTGAAATCGCAAGAATCAAATATCATAAGATTAAAAGGTTTTAAATTAAAAAAATTTCTAATACTAAATTTTACGCAAAAATTTAATTTTTTCTTCTCTTTTTCTTCAGGCATTCTACTTTATTCTTGCTCTTTTTCTTTAGGCATTCTGCAAGTATATTAAAAAGCATCCAACTTTTCGAAATATCTTAATATTTCTGACGATCATTTTAAATAAAGTTATCGCCTTCCATTTCATAAAGGCCCATAAACGGCCGAGCGGTAAAGTCGCTGAACACTGGTAGTTCACTCCGGGGTTCGAATCCCGGTAAACGGGCTGGGTACATGGGCGTTTTCGTGGATTTTCTCATGTGTACCGTGTATGACAGCTGGTTTCCATTAGAAAGTTCTTCACGAAGTATTTGGTCAGAGCCTTTATCAATCTTTAGAGGCTAAACATTTTGAAGGTATGAGATGAAAGGAAAGACTGGTTTCATCAAGAGGTTTTGGTTTATTTAATTATGACAAAGCACACTAGGGCTATCTGCCTAAGGGGAGGGATGCCTTCGTGGAGGACTTTCTAAGGGAAACTGGCTCGCATACACGTTACACATGGGGAAAACCACGAAAACGCCCATGCAGCCAGCCCGTTCGCGGGATTCGAACCTCGGACCGAACTACCAGTGTGCAGTGACTTTACCGCTCGGGCGCTGTTTCATCAGGAGGGGAAAAAACGCCTTTAGGTGACATCCACATACAATACTGGATAAACTCCTGAATCTTAATAATTCGACTGAGAAAATTCTGGGATTCTCCATTTATGATACGATATGATGTTCTATAACGTAATTTAAATTTATACAACCATACACTCTAAAACCAGTCGCTCTTCATTTTAATCTGCAATGATATCGTTTTTGTCTTTTCTGCTAACACAAGCTCAGTTGATGGTATTTGCTGGTGTACACGTCCAAGTGTTTTTTCTTTGAACGCCTAAATTCTTTGAAGTATTCTGAAAGTATATTCAAAAGCGTCCAACATTTTGAAACATCTTGGTATGTCTGACAGCCAAATTTCTCTGCAAATGTTTGCTTACTTTTCTCCCTAATTTTCTTCTTTCCTTCTACAGTTATTTCCAATGCTCACACAAGAAAATTAAGATTTTTCGATTGCTAGACTTCCATAAATTTTGCATTCTTGTCAATTTTTTAAAATATCAATTACATGAATTGCGTTTCAGCTGAAGACAGCTTTTCATTTTCTAGTCATTTTAACTAAAGTTTAAAGCGAAGTCCAAAGGATAAATATTTTAATTAAAAGATTTTTGCTAAATGACAAAGAAATAAAACAGTCCAGCAGGGTTTATTCTGTACCACCGAGTGACCCGATTCTTATATTGAGTGAAACAATCTAAATCATATTAAAGATCATGTGTTTTTATACAATCTATAACGCGAGAGAAAAAATAGCTTCTTAAAACATTCATTCTAAGAGGATTAATATAAAAGATTTTATTTATATATATATTTTTAAAGCTGGGACTTGAACCAAACTGTCAAACTTTTAAAGTTTAATTTACATGGTGGTTATAATTAAAGTTTCAATTTGAAATGGTCATAAAAGGAAAACTACCGGAGCAAATGTTATCAAACTTGGTAATCGTGTAAAGGAGGTTATGGGAATTTATTTTCCGCGAAAAAAAAAAGAGTTCAAAACCTCATCACCAGGGGAAAAATGGTGCTGTACACAATACTGTTAAATGAAATAAGATACGAAAACATCTGTTTAAAATGTGTTTAATATTTTCCGAAACGTGTTACAAAGCATGTTCAATGTAGCGTCCATCATTTTCCGAAAGCAAGTTAAATCCTGTTACTGCATTCTCAACAGCAGCTCTTAGCATATCAGGAGGAATGTTACGGACATGTCAGTGTATCACATTTTTCATTTCTGCCAAATTGTTTAGATTATCACCAAAAACAGTGCTTTTGAGATAACCCCATAGCCAAAAGTCACAGAGGTTGAGGTCTGGTGACTGGAAGCCAAGAAGGGAAGTGTCGGCCTAAGACGTTCATTCGTGAAATGTATTGCCTAAGTAACTGTGCGACACACGTGAGGTGCGCGGTGGCCCAGCCCTTCATAAAAATCGTAGTATCTAAAATGCCACGTTACTGCAATTCATATATCACGAAACATTTTAACATTGACTCTAAGTGAGCTGCAGTCACAGTGGTCCAGCTGTCGACTGCTCTTCAGAGAAAAATGGTTCAGTTATAAAACTAGCTGTCATTCAACACTAAA